CATAAATTAAACACATTTCTCTCGTTCGATAACTTCAAAATAGCTTTCAAAAATTATAAAACAATCCAAACACTTTTTTCCAAAGTTAAAGATCCCACACCAATAACAAATAAATCTGACGTAATCTACAAGATCAACTGTTTAAACTGTCCGGCAACTTCCATCGGTCTTACATCCCAATATCTGGACAAGAGAGTAAAGCAACATATCTATGATTGCAAAAAACCCAAGCAAAATCCTACAACACTCGCTACCCACCAATTTGAACACCAACACAATTTTGACTTCAAAAATCCAAAAATATTACACACAGCACAAAACAAATATAAACGTAATTTCTTAGAAATGGTTTATATCAACAGAGATAAACACAGCATCAATTACAGAACAGATACATGTAAACTCAGTCGCAGCTACGCCAATATCATTAATCAAATACAATATAGATAACATAGATATATCATTACATTACATTCCACAGATCAAATACTTTTCACAGAGTTTAATTTTCCAACAATTTAGCTTTCCTTTTCCCATTTATCCCTTTCTATATAATCCTGAAAGGATAATCTGGCCGAACTATTACCAACACATTGTTCCCCTTTGTCGGCTTTTTTCACTTCAAAGAAGCCGACGCCTTACACAAAATTGTCTTTTATATACCGACATCCTTCCCCACCCCTTCAAAACCAAACATATATAAACATAAAACAGCAAAATCTTACAGGCACTCTCAACACGACACGCAAGGATGGCACAATTACACAGAAGACAAACACTTGAGTGAGTAGAAATACTTCGTTTGAATATAAAATATATTTTGCATTGTATAAATTCACTTTTCCACATCCCAAATGTATTTGTTAAATGTAAACATTGTAAATCCCAGGCCCTGAAGATGATCTCAATAAAAGATCGAAACGTTGGCACGATAACGAAAATGTTTTTCTCAAACCTACATCACACCAGACCGCATCTCACGATATATGAATAACTAGTTATTAGTTTTATTTTAAATGTTATTTAATCATTTTACGTTTATTTTTGTAAACATTAATTTTTTTCAAAGTTCGCCGCGGACCAGTTTGGGAAGCCCCGTTCTAGTTATTTTTGAGGTCGAAATTGATTAAATGAGAAAAATCATATGCCCAAAAAACGAAAAAGTATTCCTAGACTCATTCTCTCATTTTTGAATTTGCTAAAATGAACCCTAGCATTTTCCAGCAAGGAGGGAAATGTGTAAAATATTTTATTAAAACGATCGAACTAAAAAAAAAACAAAATTATCACGCAACAAGGAAAAGCGTGGTTCTTCAGTTCGTCATAACAATTTAAATTTCAAAATTTCTTTTATATCATTACATATTTCAGGCACATTTCCATATCTCATTATATTTTACTAGACTATATTTTATTTATATCTACGTGTAGAAATATGTGGTGTTTAGTGACCGTTAGTTAATGATCATTTCGAGGTCGAGAGATGCGGTGTGGTGTGACGTAAGTTTTAGGAAAATATTTTCTTTATCGTGCCAACGTTTCGATATTTATTGAGATCATCTTCAGGGCCTGGGATTTATAAACATTGTTTAAATGTTACAAATACATCTAGGTTGTGAAAAAAGATGATCTCAATAAAGATCGAAACGTTGGCACGATAAAGAAATATATTTTCTAAAACCTACGTCACACTAGATAGCAGCTCACGATGTCTACATAATCATTATATATATTTTTTAAATTTTGTCTGAACATCGTAGTCTTGCAAAACTTTTAACTATTTTCCATTAATTAATCTTTTTATGTAAGTTTTTGGTTGAAATGAAAAAGTTAGTGTCACGAGCGGGATTCGAACCCACGACCTTCGGCTCAATACGCAGCTGTTCTAACCATTTGTTCACGATAGCTCAAGTGGTTAGAACAGCGGCGTATTGAGCCAAAGTTCGTAGGTTCGAATCCCGCTCGTGACACTAACTTTTTCATTTCAACCAAAACCTTACATAAAAATATTAATTAATTGAAAGAAGTAATTTAGTCAATAGACCACTAAATATAATGCTTTTAACTATCATGAACTATCTTATCCCCATTTCTCTGTGATAATCATCTTGTTGCATACGCAAGGTGTAGTGATTTAAGTTCTAACATATGGCAAATATAAACGAATTATTAGCTTCAAAAAGTGGCTTACAATTGTCCCTATTCCTACGCAGTATGTCTTTGGTATGAACTGATCCTCCCCACAAACGTAAACCAACATAACTACTTGAAAAAGAGAAAAGTAAATAATTTTTCTTACATGTAAGGAAGTAGTGTTTCTAATTTTGGCCATGAGGAAGTAGACGGAAGACCTTTTCGTATATGTGTAAGATACATGAGTACTCCATGACAGTCTGTTTTCGTACCAAACTCCCAGCAGTTTTATGTTTTAATCTTTATCCGTTTTTTTACATTTTTTGGCAATTCTGCAAGTGCGTTAGATTTATTTGCGTTTACATGCATATGCTTTTCAGTGTACCAATGACATAACAACTGTAATGAAATTAAGTTCCTCGCATTCTTACCTATGGAAACTATTGGCGAGCCGTCAAGAAATAGAAATAGATGTACTCGATTAAATTTCTCCGTCCGTAAGGGAATTTTTTGACGTCGTTTAAATATAGTATAAAAAGACTAGGACACAATAGAAGCCCTTGGGTGACTTCATAATCTACAATTTAGCCCATGGATGTATTGTTATGTCATCTAACACTTTGGCTGTAGCCTTTCAGAAAAGAAATCCACATGTCTAGGGTTTTCCCTCTGATTCCATTTGAGTGCAATTTATCAATGAGGATGTTGTGGAGCCTAATCAAAGGCTTTGCTAAGATTAGTTAGACTGCCTTTACAAACTATTCTTTTCAAACACAGTGTAAATATTTGATACTATTTTTTCCAACACATCCAACGTAGTAACAACGTGTACTGTTGATAGTTATTGACAATGGATTTTTTCAATTTTTTTCCAAATTTTCACCAGATAAAAAGATGCGATCCTATCGCAAATTTAGTCCCAATGTTAAAATATAATTTTACAAACATTTTGATTTTTATTGACTCTCACCTAACACACTAAAAGCACTGAAGAACAGGCTGATCAGTGTGATAAATCGACGATAAAAATAATTTAAAAAATTAATTCCTTTATAAACAAGATATTAACATAAAAATATGTTTATATAAGGAAAAAATTAATAAAGCCCCCTTTAGCCGTATCTTAAATTGAGCCTACCCACGCACCTATATAATCTAATCGGTGAAGAAATGTTTACGCTAAATTAAAATTCCTAATAATAGTGCAAGTTTTTTGTGTAAAAAATAAAAAAAATTACTAAATCAATTACTGGGTTCAGTATTTCTAGTGACATATTACTTATTTTAAGTTCATATGTGATCAGATGGAAAACAGTAAATAAAAACCCATTATATTTAGTGGTTTACTGACCAAATTACTTCATTCAATTAATTAATCTTTTTATGTAAGGTTTTTGGTTGAAATGAAAAAGTGCCACGAGCGGGATTCGAACCCACGACCTTCGGCTAAATACGCCGCTGCTCTACCACTTGAGCTGTCCTGATTTCGATCCACTCGGACACCAACTCCCCATCTCAACCTACAACCTTTCGAATCCCCCCTCCTTTTTTTTTGTTGCCATTTTTCAAAATTCGAAAGAGGTCGAGATGGGGAGTTATCTGAGTGGAAGCCACGGTAGCTCAAGTAGTAGAGCAGCGTCGTATTTAGCCGAAGGTCGGGGGTTCGCTCGTGGCACTAACTTTTTCATTTCAACCAAAAACCGTATATAAAAAGATTAAGTAAATAAAAAGCTAGAAAGGAAATCAGAGTAAATTGATTTTAATTCGACCATTTGTAACTTTTCTTTTGCCCCAATGCTAACTTTGAAAACCTCCAGAATCAGTGATAATTAGGTGGAAACTGCTATCGTCATGCGAGCAATGTCAAAATGTTATTATTTTATTAAACTCACTATTTTTCGTGGTCCGCTTGACCAATTAATAACATTCAATTACTTAAGGTTTTAGGTTGAGATAAAAAAAGTCAGTGTCACGGGCGGGATTCGAACCCGCTGTAATGAAACTGTTTGTTCAAACATTTTTAATTTTATCATCAAGCAATTCTGCCTTTGGAATTGGCAACTTATGTTGAAAAATAAATAAAGAAAGAATGAAAATGCTTTAATTCTAATTCCCTAATTTTCGTGGTCCGCTTCACCAATTAATATCTTTCAATTAAATATGGTTTTTAGTTGAGATAAAAAAGTCAGTGTCACGAGCGGGATTCGAACCCAAGACCTTCGGCTAGATACGCCGTTACTCTACCACTTGAACTATTGCGACTTCGATCCCCTCGGGCACTAACTTCCCATCTCAACCCCACCTTTTGAATTTTCCCTTCTTTTTGCCATTTGTCAAATGTAATCGGATTGGATTATCGGCGACAAATGAAATGGCCACGGAGAGCTTTAGTGAAGTGTACTTCATTTCAATTCATTAAATTCACTAATTTCGTGGCCCGCTTGACCAATTAATAACATTCATTTAATTAAGGTTTTAAGTTGAGATAAAAATTTGTTATTATTTTATAGAAAGTTCGATTGAATTTTGCAAAGGAATACATGTAAATAAATTGTGTCTCAGGATGTGTCGACTATGAGTTAGCACTAAATCTGAGGGTTCTCAGGGTAATTTCTTTTTTTCTTTCAAGTCATCTTTCGTTTAATTTTATGTATTTTGTACTGGACATGTTTAGTCTACCAAAAAAGCTAATAGAGTCTGTTTATTTTCTCGTACTCCGAAATTGGAGTTTTAATTTTTGTTGGTTTTAACGTAGTCGTTTTTTGATGCAAAAGGTAGAAGGGGTTATGTTGGATGTTTATTATCTTATTTAGAAAATTTTAATTAAGAATATACTTTTGACAAAGTCGTTTTTGTTGATTTTTCAGGGCACCGTCGACGGTTCAACAGGCCCCACCCGTGATGGCACCCAAAACCAAATCGGAGGAATTGACCATGGCTCTCCAAAGGCCGTGGCTGAAATTCGACATGGCGAGAAAGCCCAGTGATCAAAGTCAGAACGATTACGTGCCGGAAATTTTTGTCGCCTGTAAATTAGTGCCTTCCTTCGACGATTTCTTCAAAGAATGCTCCGCCGAGCTCGAATATATATTGAAAAAGCGCCCGACCGTCTCTCCGAAGATCAAGATCAACGTTGGAAACAGAAACGAAGGAGAAACCATCACTCTTTACAACTCAAAAGGCGAAGCGCACACGACGACTGTACAGAGCGGGTCAACGTTGACGACCCTGGGTCAGTTGGACTCCGATAAAACGTTAGATACGAACGTGACGGCCAGCACCACCGCGGCTCGAAAATTCAACTCCAGGTCTAAAAGAAAGGTACGCAACGTGCCAAGAATATTGGCCAATTCGAAAAGGCGGTTTAACGATCTCCCGAAAAACCTCAGGATGCTTTACCGCCGCTATAAAATCAAGGACTGCTTCGTTTTTATGTACAAAGTCCCTTATACAGACAATTTTTCACTCACTTCGCCAGAATCATACAAAGTCACTACACTAACGGAAAACCAGTACAACGCTGAAAGGTTGAACGAGGAATCGAAGGAAGGTTATTCGAATAAATTAGAACAGGACAGCTGCCCCACTGACGACAAAACGGACGGTAACAAAACACCAGGACTTGAGAATGGAAGTGGTACGACGACGGATGATTTCGAACCGACTTTGAAACAGCCAGAAGAAAGATGTAACCTAAGACAACCAGAAGAAAACAGTAACCTACAACTGCCAGAAGAAAAAAGTAACATAGAACAATCAGAAAAAGAAGGTTGTCAGGCGTTGTCAAATTCAATCGGTAATCTTAAAAAAAATGAAAATTTGAGTATGCCCGAGCTCGAACTTAGCAGCCCTTGCAAAGAAGTGACCATGACAAGAAAAACCCCACCGAGAATAAATTCGCAGTCTCCCGCTTTGAGCATCACTCCAACATTGGCTGAAACTGACTCTATCAGACCGAGTAAAAACGGATCTCATTCAGAGACGATAAAACATACAGTGGATTACTTAATAAACCAAAATAGTAAGGATTCTCCTCCTTCCTCCAACATTGACGGAAACCGCTCTGAATCTCCCGAGAAACTCTTATCATCAGCCAGTATTCAAATCTTTAGGAAATCCCAAGATAAGGAGACGACTCTACGACGGGATAAGAACAGTCCGTCGCCAAAACTCTTAGAGCAAAATTCTGTTCAGTCCACTCGGGTGGCAAGAAGAGACGAAAATAGTTCTCCAAACAGCGAGGTCTCATTAACGAGGAATAAGGTAGCTGCTTCTGATACTAAATCCAGTTCTCCAAAACCTGTTAGTTCGAGTACTTCTCATTCTATATCAAAAGAAATGATGCAACCGCTGGAAAATCGATTTCCTCATGAAGAAATAAAAGCAAATCAGATTTTAAGAAGGCATAGCCTCGGCGAAGAAGACAGAATTAGAACGGGCATCCCAAGTCGTAATGGCCATCAAGGCTCAACGAAAAGAGTAAGATCGAAAAGTAAAGAAGACGGACGACAGTCGACGGAAAACTGTCGAGTGAGGACGTCTGGCGGACCGCCATTCACTAGCGAGTCGAACTGGGATTTTCAGGGTAAAAGGACGACGCATCCTCCCGAAGAAAATGGCGTTGTTGCGACCCAAACCTCAACTGCGAAAAATTGTGATAAACCCTACTCGGAGAGAGTGCGGATGACCTGGCCGGTTCCTTCTTCAACGGGCGTCTCAGTCGTAATCAAAGAGGAACCGAAGGACGACTCGGACCCCACGGAACCGCCTACCAAAAAGCCCAAATGTGATGAGGACACGTACCTCTGGTGGATGGCACGGCGGGTGAAAAAAGAGTATGCCAAAACGGAAATGGAACTGAAAACCGTCACATTCAAAATCTACTCCTGTTTTAGGTGCCATAAAGAATTTTCTGAGCACAAACATTGGTCAAAGCACATATGCGTTCCTGAAACTAATTAAATTCTCTTTTTCATACTCGTAAACACTTAGTTTTATACACTTTGTAAACTATTTTAATTTTAGGTGTATAATTTTATGCTATATGCATTAGAGACGAGACTTTTTTTTATTTTTGTACAATTATCGTTATAATGTTTTTAAAGTTTAATAAAATTTAAAAAAAATTATTGCCCAAATAGTTCTCAAAAAATATTTTTGACGTTTCGTACCGAATGATCTTCGTCATGTTTGTTGTAGATTACGACAGAGATTTTGTTTTATTTATTTATTTTTTTGTTCTGTAATTCCATAAAAATTACACTAAATAAATTTATTGTTCCTTACAAAGCTTGTTCATTTTCAACCAATCCAATGTTCCTAATGAAAAATTACACATTTAAAATGTATGCCGGTCCTCGTCTTAGAATAAGTTGTAATTGTTAAAATAAGAAAAAAAAAGTTTAAAGACCACACAAAAAGGGCTGGATATCTGAAGTGTGTCGCAGACCACCATTTGTTTCCCACGAACCTGTGAAAAACAAAGTTACAATAGTTGGACAACCGATCAAAATAAATAACTAATGTCGAGTTACTTAATGCTGAAAGGTTGTCACTAGTGACATGGACCTCGTAACTCGGGGTCGTGTCAACCAGGTACGCGACACCCGTCTTCGCCGGCCCACCCATCGCGTGGGAACTCCCTCGACTTTTGATTTTCCTTTCTGACCCTACTTCGGTAGAGAAACTGGTATAAAAAGGGATGATTTGGAAATCAAAAGTCAATCCAGTTCAAGGGCTAGAATTTTCTAGTTCAGAGGCTCGAATATTCTAAAGAAGAGTTCAAACCAGTCAGTCAGCACCAAGGGCAGGCTGCAGCCTCTTTCTGGGACTCGGCGAGAGGACAGTCAGGAGGGGCCAGCTATTGCGACAAGTCGATTAGAGGACCCACGAAGCTGTAGGAAGAAGATCCTGGAGGACGAAGGGATGATTTGGAAACTGGTATTGGCGAGCATCGTTTGGGGGGTAAGTGTTTTTGCGAATAAGCCCATCCCAGATTACAGTTTTGGCTCATTTGGTAGATTAGTTAAGATTTTGTTGTGGCTGTGCAAATGTAAAAAGAGGAATTGTGTTCAAATAAATGTTTAAGAATATACTCTGATTTCTTAACTTCTTGTACCTCACCTTCCCCTACACAAGAATAAGTAGCGAAGCGCTTACGCCTACTCTTTTATCGATTAGAAGAAAGCAAGCAAATAGAGAGAGAGATACGATCGCACAGTTGAATTCGCGTGAATTTAAAACAATTTACAAATCTAATAATTGAAAAATAAAAATGACAGTTTTTTGGGCACATTTAAAAACGGAAACGTAATTCAATTTACAGTTATTGTGGCGATTAACAATTTTGAATCTATTGCTTTGTGGAAGTCTTATGGTTTACCTTTTTCCTAAAATTGCTATCGGCCCCCAACATACAGTCCAAACGGACTTTACAAATGTCACTTTGCGACAGAAAGGCCGCCTTGGACTTTCTGGTAATCCGAGGCCACAAATGCAGATGGACGTTTAACCAAGGTAGAGTGCTATACGGTTGAATTACCCTAACATATGAAAAGAGCGTAACACAAGTCCATGAATAATCTTTTGAAGTAAAGACTTCCAATGAATTTCAAAACAATAAAATGTGTTATAAAAAAAATTTGAAAACATCCTCATTGATCCTACTGAACACAGCGTTTATTGCTTAAGGACAAAGATGAGAATTTCAACATTTGCTCACTTATTTGTTGAAGGACCCCTGTATAAATAAATCGGATTTAAATCAAACGTAAACAAACAAAAAACAAATCATGAAAGGAAAAAGGCACTGGCGGCAAAGAAAATCATGGATTGCTTGGATATCATCATTCGTAAACCTTCATCAGAAATCATTAACAGAGGGTTCAGTAGACAACATGGGATTCACTGAATTGGAAAATTGATAGAAAACACTTAACTTGTTGACTCGATATCCCCGTCCTTAAGTGTTACTCAATCTTAAACAGATTCAATTTGGAAAGACATTTCGAGGAGCCGAAGGCTACAATCGACCGAGGATCCAATTCGTCGTCGGGTGTTGACTTCTAGAAACCATCTGGAAATACACTGAGCAGATATGTTTAATAATAGAATAGTGAGCGATCAATGTTCAGCTGTGCCACTTGCCAATACTAAACTGTTAGTATTCTTAGAAGTGCATTTGGTAAGTCCATCCTGCAACGGTATTGTTTGAGAAAAAGGCAGGTAGGTGCCTTTGGTGAGTGGTGATCTTTGGATTTACAGCGTGCACGAGTACGTTTCCAAAAAGGGCAGAAACATTACCTGGGAAAAAGGGACTGGGAATCCAAACTTAGCTGAACATTATGTACATCACTAGTTAAGATTTTAGTAGGGGGGTATTATCGGTAATAATATAAACTGCTCAAAAATGAATAGATACATTGCCAGTTTCGTAGTATTTACTTTTTATTTACTTCCTACGATTTTTATTTTATTTTTATTACAATTTATTAAAAATTATTATGTTTTTTACTGAAGAAAAATTTAATTAAGGTGATTTTGTCAAATAACAAAATAAAAGGTTTTAATGGCACAATTTTGTTTATTGGACACAATAATTTTTTTTTAAACAATTAATACTAAGTATAATACTGTTACTGGTATACTGTTAAAAAGGTTGTCACAAATTTAATAAGGAATTCTGCTCCATAGATGTTGCAACGCTGCAGTCAGTTGTTGCAGGTCAACTGGCTGCGGAGGGTGATCGAAAAGCCTTCTCTGCAACGCATCCCACATGTGATCAATGGGATTGAGGTCTGGAGACAATGGAGGAAAGGGTAGATGGGAAATTTTCATGTTTTCTAAACATTGATGAACAACTCTGCCTCTATGAGGTCTGGCATTGTCATCCAGAAACCGGAAATCCCTGACAATGAGATCCCTGGTATTCCTCGATAATTTCTTGGACATAACGGACTGCGGTGAGGTTGCCTTCAACATTATAGAGTCCAGTTCGTCCTCGAGTGTAAATCCCAGCCCAGACACCGCCTTCTCCAAACTACACTGAAGGGAACACGAACTAGGGCATTGTACGCATCCTCTGTTCTCGGCAGTCTCTTCGGCGCCTGCTATGACTATACAGACAGAAACGAGACTCATCAATAAACAACAACATTCCAATTGGTGCTCTCTTCTAGGCGCTCGCTGCACCATATTCCCCTGAGTTGCTGCAGCTCGAAGGGGCTACTTACCACGTTGATAAAGGCTTTGCCAAAACATCTTGTACTTCATTTAGGATCTGGCGGGCACTATGGACAGGATTCCGTACAGCAATGACCATATTTCTTTCCTCCCGTAGCGTCTTAATGAGCTGAGATCCACTACCAGGCCTCCTATTGGCACTACCAATCCCTCGGAATCGGGTTAAAGCCCGGGAGACCACGCCAACCGCCTCTGGGATATCCTCTTGCCGGTGACCTCGATGACCCATTCTCACAATAATATTGCAAGCCTCTGGTTCAAGATGATGTCTGTTCATGGTTAAAGAGAATATAACTGGATTAAAATGGAGAAAAGATGAGAAAAGGTGTTTGTTTACAAAATGAAAACTTCACTGTACTATTCTTAAGTAAATCCTTTATTAAAAATGAGGATTAACATTTGTTTTTGATTTTATCCAACTAACAAGAATATATCGATTAATTTAATTAAAAATAATAGAATAAGAATAAATTACAAATATCTCTATTCATTTTTGAGCAGTTTATGTCATATAATAACATAATATAATAAAATATCATCGAAGTTAAGTTCCCTGGAAGAAGTATTAAAAAAAAAAGGAAACTTTATTGTTAAAACTGTACAATGTTTCAGTTTAAACCGACAGAGTCACGGGGAGAAGGCTATCGCAAGAGTAAGGCATGGTATTTAGGGATTAGGATTTTTATATTGTTCTAAAGAAATGCGGCTAGTCTTTCCTGACGTTTCGTCTGAGGGGCATCTGGCTATTCCATAACTCCTCCGACTTTAAGAAAGGCAGACCTGTAAAAAAAGACGCAGGAGTCGACCGAGTCGCCTCGATGACGGTTTTCTTTATGGTGACAGCGAAAATAAACAGAGTATTGACAGAAGCCTCTAACATATTAGAACATAAACATAAATAGTTGAAAATGTCGAGGAGGCATATAATACTTCCAATGGTTGGATTTTTACATTTAGCATATGTAAGTCTTCAAAAGATACACTGAAAATTCCGTCCTATTGATTTTGTGTTTTCATTTTCTCGATAAAAGAAAATTCTGCCCTTAATTTGTCTCATTTTTTTACCAATAAATTTTGTGTATGGTATTGTAAGCCGGTCCCCGTCTTAGCGATAAGTTTAAATTGTTAAAATAAGAACAAAATAGGATAAACGATGAAAAGGGACAAGGTTGTACTCTGAACGGGCGACCACCCAGACGGAAACGACGTGACAAATCTGGCAAATGTAGCTTGGAAATGGTTACCCAGGAAGACAGTTAGGTAAGAACGTCGAAGTGTGTGGCAGACCCAGGCTGGACCTACATTTTGTTTCCCACGAACCTGGAGAACATAAAATAGCAATAGCTAGACCACAGTCTTTGCCGGCCCACCCGCGGCGTGAGAACTCCCCGACTTTTGAGTTTCCTTTCCGCCCCTACTCCGGGAGAGACCCGGTATAAAAGGGATGACTGGAAAATCAAAAGTGAGTCAAAATACAAGACTCACCCCGGGCAGTCAAGATCAGGGACTCTCTCAGGAGTCACCTCGGAAGACTCGCCTGAATCAAAATCCTAGACTCACCCCAGTCAGTCAAAATCCTAGACTCACCCCAGTCAGTCAAAATCAAAGACTCACTCCAGGCAGACAAGACCAAGGACCGGGAGAGAAGCAGCCACACTCCGTCTGGGATTCAACAAGAGGACTCAGCCAGCCAGAGCCAGCGAGGACCAGCCGTTGCGACCCATCGAGCCAAGTCGACGGTCAAGAGAAAAGATGCTGTGGTCACTAATCGTGGCGAGCGTCGTTTGGGGTAAGGTAATCCCTTTGTTGATAGACCCATCCCAGATTTAGAGCTGTGGCTGACTTTTAGATCG